CTTGTCTGTTCCTTTTGAGCACATTTTTCTATTTAGTCCTTTCATTATTGGTGATGACAAATATGGCTTGTTGGCCAATTTCATATTTATAAAGCACTGTGATATTACCAGATCAAAACAATGTTGCTGCTGAGCTTACGCTGATAATTTATTTCCATCTTACTGGTTACATCAAACATTTGTTGATAAAAAAAAAAAGCACAACATGACAGTTGTGAGTCATTTTATCTGGGGCAAAATGAGGACTATGGGCCAGGAGACAGCCTCTCAGATATCTCTGAGGAACTGCTCCCACCAATAGTTGTAAAGATTTAAGTTATTTGAATTTACTGTGGATCAGAAAACTAGATTACACTGATCAGAATTTGTAAATTAGTTTATATCCCTTTTGAACAGATGACTTAGAATGACAGGATCCTTAAAGTAAAATTGCATTCTAATTAATTAATGTGGGAAAAGGTGAGGAAGTTGTGATTAATAGCTTTCAAAAGGTCATTTTTTTCAATCCTTCCAGCATTTTCTTTGAGCTGTTAGGTTTTGCTTTATTTGAAGCATGTTGAAATTATTCTAATGTGGGTTAGGAGTACGATGTGCAGATATTTCATTTTCGTAAGGTTGTAGTAGATACTGTTTATACTACACATATTATATCTGTGTGGTATATATATTAAAAGAAAGCTTGTACGTATCGTTAAAAAAAAAAAGGTGGGGGTAGTGGAGGAGGTCAGTATATATGAGACTTTGTTGAAGGGGATATGTCCAATCAAGCACACATTTTGGCAGAAGGTCACTGCTAGTGTCAAGAAGGATGCTGCTGATCACGAGGAGCGGATGTCTCCATTAATCATTTCCCTGCTTTTCAGAGCGCTCATGCAACAAGAACAGATTCCGAAAATCTTCTCTTAAAAATATCTGACTCTCTGAAGGCCTGTGCTGCGGGTTTTTTCCCAGAGCACAGAGCGTCTCATTTGTGATCTCCCTGAACTCCTTTCAGGATGTGCACCGAAGGTCAGCGACCTCAGTAACCAGTGACTTCATTCTTGTAGCATCAGATGGCGAGTGACAACTTTAAGTTGGCACATTTAAGAATTCTAAAGTAGAGCAATTCTACTTCCTAATAATAAATCATGTCTGACGGATCTCCCCAGTTCTGATAAAGTCTCCCATTAGATTTTGGTTAAATTAGATTGGGTAACACATTTCCTTAATTTATTTCTGCTTCTTGAGTTATTTAAGTCAGCACATTAACTTTTGTGCCTGGGACTCCCTCCCTGCTATACCTTTTCTTGGGTTTTAGAATGTTTGCTGGGATCTAGGTGTGGGAACAAATTATCAGTAAGAAGGGTGGAGTTAGGGAGGGAAAGATTCTATCACCCTTTGCTGCCACTCAATACTTTGTCACTAAAAGTGATTTTCCTTTTACCCTGGTTTCTGATTTGTTTTCCAGACTTGGGAACATTTTACTTAATATCTTTAAATAAGAAACTGTGCTAGGCATTTAAATTACTGACTTAAGAATTCCTACTTTTGGAGTCAAACTTAATAGGAGTCTTCTTTCCCTACGTTCTCCAAAAATACTATCACTAAAAACTCTCTGGGACCCTTCACTTGGTCGAAACATAAGAATTGTTTGTGTCCTGGCCTTATCCAACAGCATAAAGACCAAGCTGGATCCATTAACAGAATAATGTAGCTAACACTGGGGTCTAGCCACATACAGCCTTTTGGGTGACATTGGGCGTACCAACTGATTCTGTTCCCCTGTCTTTGCGTTCACAACATGGCCCCAAGAGACGCAACATTTTTAGAAGTCATGCCTAAAAGTGTGACATCTCTGAGTACTTGGTGGTAGAAGACAGAGGTTCTGAAGTGGCTTTTGTGAGAATAGGGGACAGACAGAAAGCTGCCCCCCTTATCTTCCATCTGGAACAGAAAGCTGCCCCTCTTTTCACCTTTCATTGGGCATTTTCAAGAGTGTCTCCTTTGTCAGTGAAATATCCCTGGTAGAATTTCCATGTTAATTTATTTCCCAGCCAGAATGTCAGTAAAGCAATTTCCATTTTCCCGTCTCCTTTTTTGTTTCTCTGCCTGCATCATCCAGAGGATAAAGAGGCGCCCCTCCAGCCATGACCTGTGCCCAGTTCTTATATACGTGAAATAAAAGAATGAAGTAAAATCAGGCCAACTGTTGGTAATGAGCTTCACGATCCCCTGAGAAAAATAACTTATGGGATTTCATTTGAAAGGAAAAAAATTGAAAGAATGTGACAGGTGTTTGGGGGTGAAGAGATAAGTGCACAGACAAAGAAAAAAGTCTTTATTATATTCCAGTGGAATATCCAGGGTATGCACGACTTTTTAAAATTATTCTACTTCAAATTAGCAATTCTTCCTTGCCTTCATGTGGTGACCAGAAGACCCTTGAGAGTATGTATAATTTAATCTTACTAGCCAGAATGATAGACTTAATTAGGATATGCTTTTTTCCTTAGTGCGTGTACTCACTTACGCTATGTGAAGTTTAAAATCACCAGGTAGTTCGAGGGGGTACAGAGAATCCCAGAATTTAAGTCAATGTCATTGCGTAGACCCTGATTCAGGGCTTAACGTCATGTGTTTAGTTTGGAAACACATTGCTTTCAACAGTTTTGAAGAAAAATGAAAATATCAATATTATGTGCAAAGGGGCTAAAATCTAAAATGGCTCCAAACACGTTAAAAATTAAAGTAGCCATCCAGACTAATGCCTGTTATATTAATCTTGTCAACATGCTTTCGTGTTTTAAAAACTAATAAACAGTAAAATAATTCTCTCACCCAAACCAAAATAACAGGTTTCTTTTTGTTGATCGGGTTTTGCTTGTCAAATCTAATCCAGCGCGTGAGTTCTGTGGGAGAGAGAAAGTGAGTCTTAAAATGAATTAGTAGAAGCATATTGTGTTACAGCTCAGACTTGTATAATCCCTGGATGGCAATTCGTTGTGTTTATTCCACTATTATTCAAAATAATTAGCCTGATGTTATTCAGCTGGGAGGAGACTGCACCGTCTCCATCAAACTTGACAATAAATGAGCCAAACAATATTTTGGTCTGCTGCATCTCTTTAACTGCTGTGTCATTTGCTTTATCTCAAATCTCATTCTTTCAGGAGCCTTCTTGGTTTCAGAAAAATAAGGGCCACGAAGGCAAATGCTGTCTGTTTTCTTTAGAGAATGCACTGTGTTGTAAGAATGTGAAGAGGTGAAATCTGTTCCCTTCCAACTGAAGAAAGTCAGAGGTTGTTGGAGGCTTCTTAAAAAATATTCTGGTTCATTGCATTGATTGATTGTTTTGGTTGCCATTTGGAAGTGCTTGGCCATCACACAAAGAGTTAGAAATAAATTTCTCCACTAATTTACATGCTTAGACTCCATATTGAAGAGTCAGTTGGTAATTTCTGATTTCATAAAACGTTAGGATTTAGATACTGTCTAAAGGCTTGGAGATTGATGTGTATAACGAGAGGAAACTTGTGTTGGTTGGACTGGCCTGTTGCCTTCTCAGCACTTAGGATGGGGAGTGTGTAAGTGTTACCACCTTCTGCTTTTGTAAAAAAGAGTTAGTTGGGTAGTTATTATTTTATGACCTGAGGGCAGCTTGGACTAATATTTCCTGTCAGAATAATGTGTATAATGGATGAAAACCATTTTTCATTCGGCGTTTTTAGAAGAGTTACTCTGGTTGTCACATTGGTAGCTTCCTGAACTCCATACTAATGAGACTAATTGCATTGATTGGACACAATCCACCAGGCAGCATGCGGGTGCTTTATGGTGTACTTATACACAGAGTAGCAGGAGGCTGCAGGGAATTGTCAATACCATCAGTTAATTTCTGGCAGGAGTAATTTTCTTACCTCTTGGCACCTTATTATTTTGAAATAATTATGATAATTATGAAAATTTTAACTCCATGGGAAGAAAATGACTGATTTAATGTTCCTTTAGGCTTTTGAACTTCAGTTATGAACCTGTTTTAGATTAATGTTATGATTTTCCTTTCCCCAAAATTAATTAAATAGAAATAAAAGATGCCCAGCGATTATCTCTGTAACAGCAAGAAGTAAGTTACTGAGCGAACTTGTGACATAATTCTTGAAGTGTGTCTGTGTAATGAGACATTTTATCCCAACTGATTAAAACTCTATCCAAATGATCATCACCTCTTCAAAGAGATTTTAGGAGATTATGTATTTATTTGCATAAAATCATAAACTACTTGAACTGTCTTTAGAGATCATTTAATCTACCACCTATTTTCAAACAATTAAAAAACCGAAGCTAAACACAAAGTCAAGGTGTTCTAGTGTTGCTGCCATGACTGTAAGTGTTTTAAGAGTAAATCTTGAGCCACTGAAATAAAAGCCATTTCACCACATTTCTGATCCAATGAATTTTTAGCCATTTAATCACTTTTTCAATTCTTCCATGTTAGATGCAAATGGCTCTTGAATGGTGAAATGAATGAAAGCCATTGAAAAATGATAGAAAATTGACCTCACTAGGAATTTCTGGAAGTTTCTGCTTTAGTATCTGAAGAAAGTTTGAAAAAATATTCATCCTCTGCCTGGGGTATGTGCAGTTATGCCAGGTGACTAATGAAAAATACTGTCTTTATTTGTTAAAAGACCAACCACAGGCACATAGATTTACATTGCCATGGAATTTAGGTTTGCATACGTTAATGAGTTAGGACTGGTTTCTAGTTCTCTCCAGTCCCAGTTAGGCAGCTGCTGGGTTGGGGCCATACATTGTGCTTTGGTTCTGCATCGATAATCTGCATGGACCTGCGGGCCCCTCAGGCTCCAAATATCTGATCTGTTAACATTTCCTCAGGCACTTCTTTACACGGAGCAGGGACTGGGCCAGGTGGGCAAATAAAAAAGAAAATAAAAAATGCACTCTTAGCTTTGAGAAAACTGAATTTCTCTAAAAAAATAACTTCTAGAAACAACATCAATATGAGAATTCAAGACGCAGGTAGAAGGTTGAAGGAGACAACTTTCCAATTCTCTTCCTGTATAACTGCAGTCTCAAAAAGTTTGCTTCCAGTAACGGTGTTCTAATCGTCTGCTTCTCTAATTTTCATTTTTTTCATGTTTTGTATGCAAAAAAATGAAAGTTTGTCTGTATTGCAAAAGTCCAGCCCATTCTATGGATCTGGCGTCAGAGCCTTTTCTTACCAATTTTGTTTCTCTCATTAGCGTAAAATATTGCTGTTGGAAACCCCAAGAAAAATATATCAGAATCTGAAATGGTGTCCACTAGCTATTTCATCTTTATAATGCTGGGTAGTTTTCAGAGTGCTTCAACTCAACTATTCTGACACTGATTAGCTTCTTAGAATTGGCGTTGCTTCCGCCCTCCTGTACTGGCTTTTGCCTGTACCGTTTGCTACATTTCTCTGCAGGGGACCCAGGGTGGCAAAGAGAAGTGGGAAAATTCAAAAGAAGTATGTTCACTAACCTGAGAAACACTGGTAAACTTTCAGCAGGGAAATAGCTGAAGATACAGGTTAAAGCCAAGATTTGAGAAGGAGAGCGGGTTTCTGATTTTGTTGATCTCTTCTGGTATCTGCACATTTGTGACTCTCTAACATAACTCGGTTGAATCATATGGTAAGTCCATTTTTAGTTTTTTGAGGAATCTGTACTGTTTTCCATAATGGCTGCACCAAACTATCTACCAGCAGTGTAGGAAGTTTCCCTTTTCTCCACACCCACTCCAGCATTTATCATTTGTGGGCTTTTTAATGATGACCAGAAATTGACATACTGTAAACTGACTATACTTCAATAAAAATAAATAACTCAGTTGAAGCCCCTGTGTGTGACATCGTTCATCAGAAGTGCAATCAAGATAACCATTACTGAAAGGCCTATGTTAATTCTGCTTAGCCAAGTCTTCTCTCTCTCTCTTTTTTTTAAATTTTCTCAGTAAATCCTATAAAAGAACTCCCTGGAGTGAAAAAGTATGAAGTGGTTTATCCCAGAAGACTTCATCCACTGTATAAAAGAGAGATCAAGGAGCCAGATAAACAGGTACAGTCAAATCTTTTGATTTAATAAAGAATTTTAAATATATACATATATACACACATATACACATATACATATATGTGTGTATATGATATGCATATATAACAATATTTAATATGTAGATACAGGTACATATTTTTATATATATACACATTCACATTTGTGTGTGTTTGGTTACCTTTATTAATCTTCACAATAACCCAACATTCTATTATAAGCTTTATTTTGAGTTAAGGTTCTGATAGTTGAAATAAACTGCCCACGGCCCACAGAGAGTAAATTTTAGTGTTTTTATAGTAATTTATAATTTATTGTTACTTCCAAAGAAATCTGATACAAATTCTTTTATCTACCTAGCATCTAGCCATACACACATACAAACAGAACTGTGAACACTAAAATGAAGTAAAAAATAAAATATTGTGGCTGAATACATGCATATATGCATATTAAATTAGGATTAATTGCTACAGTTTAACGTAAAATTTACCTCTCTTTTCTAAAGAGACGACTATTAAAGTTTGTAGAATTCTTAGCACTTTATGAAACGCACATTCTCAGTCAAGAGAGAAAAGGTAAAACACGGTGATTCACTCAACAGCAGTTTTCTAATTACCTGCACCTGGAAGTCTGCTGCTGCAATCCAGGAAAGTACAAATAAAAGAGACGTACATGATAAGTTTTTCATCTATCTCTTTTAAGGTGAAATTCACTGGAAGCTCATATTCCCCAAATGGACAAATTTCTTCACAGAGTATTTCTTCTAAAGCAAACCCATTTGTAACAGCAGAACCCATAGTAAACCCTGTTTCCCAAAATAACTGTCTCTCACCAAAATGTTTCCACTAAATTTATATAGGACACATATGCATTGGATTCCCCATCAATATGGCTTTCTTCAGATGCTTTCTGGCAGTCTCCTAAAACTGCCAGCTCCCTTTTTTCACTGAATATTTTGAGACTGAAGCTAAGTTCTTCAAAATTATCTTTGTGGTTTCTGCATTGAGACTGTTGGTCTTCCTCGGGCAAATACTTGATTAGCAATTGCTTGAAACATTTAGCATGTGTCAGAGGGGGACCTCTGTATCTACACAGATCTCAGCCTGGATAAATCACTTCTCAAGGCAGTGAAGAGGAGGACTCTTGTCATTATTATACAACTGTGCCCTCTGCTGGACCAGAGAACTGAGACACCAGCATCACCTGTCAGGTGTCCCAAAAGCATGGCCCTATCTTTCTGACGTCATCACACCTGGCTGCATTACTTAAGATTTGAGCTGGAGTGAAGGAATCCTTTGGACAGTTTTCTGGGAGGGCACTGAAAGCCAAGGCAGAATCTTGAATGTTTTATTCATGATTGTATTCTTGATTGTATTTTATATACATAGCATAAGGAGACATGAATAAGTATTTGTTGGATAAGTGAGCAAATGAATAAGTGAACAAAAGGACAAATGAGTGAGTGAGCATAACTAAAACACATCCCCTACCTACCTGCATAGATGTATATTCAACAAATTCTTAATCAAGTTCCCTGATGTTGAAACGTACATTCTAAAGGTGGTCACTGTTCCTAGGATTCAGCCTTTAGATCACACCCTTCTTTAGAGGTCAAAACCATCTTGCTGTTGGCCCGTGCCACAAAATGGGATATTTGGCAGCACAGCGCCTCCCCTATATTGGGAACAATTTCAAGCCTTAGTTGGATCCACCAGAGGCTCCCGAGGCCTCGGATTCCTGTGTGGACAACAGCAGTGCTGTTACGATCAGGAAACTCCCTGGGCTTCTCCAGAGTGTCCTTTGTGCGCTCACCAGCACCGTCTTGACTTTACAGATCTGCTTCCATCCCAGGACCATCCAGGCTGTGGCCTTCCCAGTCCACCCACTAAACCTCACACATGGTGTTTCTCCTGGAGGAAATTTTAACTTACACATCCCTGTGCCCAGCTAATCTTACTCAGGGGGCTCCGGATCATTTCCTTCTAGTGGAAGCTCTCTGAATCAAGGTGCCTATTTTCTTTCCTAACCCACTGTGCAGACCCTAAACAGAATACAGGTAAGACATTCTAGTAGCAGGCGTTGCTCTCCACCGTGAACTTCTGCTTGAAAAGCACAGTGACAGTGTCCCCTGGTGGCCCTTTTTCATAGAGACTCTGGTTTCTTTCCTCACTGTTTCCTTTCATTCATAACCTCTATGCCAGTGTCGGCTGAAACTTCCACTCCCAAAACAATGATGTTTTTTCTGAAACAACCTCCAAATAGTATTTTATATGAAAATCCACTAAAATTCATTGCTGACAGGAAACAGATACCTGGAAGGTGCTTCTATATAGAAGGTCATATCTTGTCCCCTCCGAATATTTTCATTCTCTCTGGCCTTTCTTAAACCTGAACGATACGTAGTTATAGTGATTCCCCATGACTTTTGTTTTCAACCCTCAGGCTTTTTTCCAGCTCCTGTTATTCATGAAAAGGAACTGAATTACAGCAGCCTCCCCTCATCTCGACCCACAGTGTAGGATATTTATAGTTTTGGATTTTTGACACCAGAGATGACTAATAACTTGTAATTTAAAGGAAATCTGGACTAAAATAACTGACCTTGGAGACGGAAAATCCCTCTACAATATCCTGACCTGATGACTCTAACTCAGTTGTCCCTCGATGAGCTCGGGTCCTGTTCCGGCCAGGAGAGGGAGGAGACAGGAAAGGCTTGGCCCTAGGTGAAATACGGCTGAGGAAACAAGCATTCGGTCCATAGTAAGTGGTGCTTCGTCACGTGCGGTCCGCTATAGTTGATCCCTTTACTAATAACAATAACAATGTCCCAGTGAATTTGTCGATATTGCCATGTATTAACCGTTGTAACCATGGTTAACGAACCCTGTTTTATAGAACTAAGTCGGAATTCAGTACCTGACCACTCTTCTTTGAAATCCTCGTGTCTCCTCCTCTCTGTCTCCTCCTGTACATATAAATCTGAACTTATAATAGTTCTCCTTTTCCACATGACTAACTTGAGGTGACATTTTTCTCTTTCTAAACACCTGAGACTATGTTTTCTTCCTGAGGATCTCGTCCTGCCTTGGGCTACATATTCTTGTTATTTTGCCCATATTCTGACCTCCACTTAGCCTTGAGATCTCCAGATCAGAGATCATCAGAGAGAGGCTTGCAGGTCTTTGGGTCTGTGTGCATACTATCCCTTCCTCTAAAATAACTAACCCCCACGCGCATCCCCACCTCCCACTTCACCCGGCTAATTCTCAGCTTACACGTTACTTCCTCAGGAAAGCCTTTCCTGCCCTTAAGATGTCAGACATCCTACCCTGTTTCTGTATTTACACCCCTTACCCTATAACATAACTCACTTTTATTGGCTGCCTTTCCACAAGATTATAAGCTTTCTGACAGTAGGTACCAATTTTTCCTGCTTTGAAGTCTGTTTCCAGAACCAAACAGTGTCTAGCGTATACCCAGCATTCAAATAGTATTTGTAGAATGTGTAGATGGATGGATGGGTAGATGGATTGGTATAAAGGTCTCAGATAATCTGCGTCTTCAGTTGGCAGGTGTTTTATTTGTTAAAGGACGCAGAAGCAGACATTTGGAATTATAGAGACTACTGTTCAAAGAAAAGCAGGCATTGCTTTCTAATGATTAAACAGATGGTTGCAGCCACAAGCATATTGGTGTGTGTGTTTTTAGTTACCAGTAAATGTTTGTGCATTTTTTTCAGGACAAATTTGAAACGGAACTGAAGTATGAAATGACAGTTAATGGAAAAATTGCAGTGCTTTATTTGAAAAAAAACAAGTAAGTATCTTTACTTCTAGTATTAGCCTCCCCAACAGCAGGTGCGCAGGTGGAAAGTGTGCTAATTCAGCCTTTTACTGTTCACGGCTCGCGCACCTTGGCTAGTCCGCTTGTACTCTCAGCTGACCCGAGGGGGCTCAGCGAGTATGTGTTCCCACTGAAGTGGTAGAGACACGCTGAGTAACAGAACAGTGTATTGTTAGTTCTGGTTGTAAAACACAATGCGTGAGGTGCAAGCAGACATATAAATTTTATCAATTTTTATGAAATAGCACATAGATTTTTAAATCCTTCCCATGCATTGTTGCAGTTTTGTTATTCTAACACTGAAAGATTAGATATTAAAACAAATTGCAACTATTTTCATCAGAAAAAAAAATGTGTATAAGTTAAATAAACTGTAGGGTCAAAAAAACAAGTCAGTGGTCAAACCAGAACTGGGGGCTCCTGATTCCAACACCAGTGCTCTTTCTACCCACCCATCCGCTAAGCCTCCGTGTTTCTTATACATTACATTGTCATTCTCTTCACTGAGTTCACCTAGAGTCAGCATTCCTTTTCAAATTTCACTGCCTCAGCTCTCACCCAGATCTTGATCATCCTATATCCAGACTGTTTCAAAAGTAGTTTTCCCTAATTCTGTGCTTTCAAACTTCTTTTCAATCCCTACATTGTTCAATACAGGACAGCAAAATTATTTTTCCCCTCAAGCAGACTGTCACCTTTTGCAAGAAGTCACAACTGACTAGAGTTTGGAAGCAGTGTAGTACAATGGAAGTGAAATCATGCAGGCTTGGAATTCAGGCAGGCCTAGATGTGATTCTTTGCCACTGGAACTGTTTAATTTCATCTGAAAAAAAAGGAGACTAATATTTATCTTGTAGGATTGTTGAAATGACTAAATGATTTACGTAACATGTCTAACTCAGTGGCCAGTATAGAGAAGACATTTTATCATACTAGTTTACTTCCTTTTCTCCTTGCCCTTCCTCTTTTAAAAAAGTATGCTGTATATATGTATTTACATGCAATATAATGTGTATGTGCAAACTGTAATAATTCTACATAATAAAACTGAAAAAGGGAAAAAATAAATCTGTTATAAAAAAACAACAACAAGGACCTACTGTATAGCACAGGGAACTATATTCAATATCTTGTAATAACCTATAATGGAAAAGAATCTGAAAAAGAATATATATGCATATATATAAGACTAAATCATTTTGTTGTATCCCTGAAACATTTGAAATCAACTATACTTCAATTAAAAAAACAAAAATTAAAAACATTTTTCTGATAGTTCCAAATAAATAAATAAATACATACATACATACATATTCAGATTCCTGTTTGCTGGTGGGTAATTGAAAAACTTTTAAGAAGCACAGTGAAAATGCTGACAGAGCCCCAACTACCAAATGCAAGTCAATTTGCAGTGCATTTCCCAGGCTGCAGTTGTCAACAAGCCGCTGGTAACTGACAAGGACTGAGTGAAAATGTACTTACCCTAAGCTGGTGAGGAGCACTGCTCTTTTCAGTCATTTTTATCCACTTTGCCCTCAGTTCCGTTTCTTCCCCAAATCTGTCCTCAGACAAGCATGCCAAGTGTGATGAGGCAGTAGACATCGTTCCACTACTCAGGCTTGTCCCTGCCCTCCCCCAGCTCTCCAGTTTCAGCAGCCCCTTCACGCTTGGATTTGTCTTGAGGGGCTAGGAGACTGAGCTCAGGAGGCAAAACTTTCCTCCACACCCACTGAAAGCCCTCACTTTGATCACTGGACTTTGCAATTAGCACAGGTAAACATGACTTTTCTTCTTTCCCCCTCAGGGATCTCCTTGCACCAGGCTACACGGAAACATATTATAACTCCACTGGAAAGGAGGTCACCACGAGCCAGCAGATCACGGTAAAACAGAGTATCCTAGACTCATTGTTTATTGGGGTGTGACCCACACACCCAGAGGCAGTGTCATTGCCAGACAATTAGAGAAAGTGAAGTAGCAGAGCAATGATGTGTTCTTCAGAAGTAGTCATTTCTTACTAGATCCTCCAACATCTTTACAGTCTGACGAGAACACATTCCTTGACAATGTGGTGCCCCTTTCCAGCCTTCAAGGACTCCTTCTAGGAGAGAGGGCAGAAGGAGCTTCTTATTTTCATTAGAAAAGTGAATACTTGAAGGCATCTGTTATTCTTCCTCAGTGCCAGTCACGTTCTAGATCGTGCAGTCTCTCAAACTCAGAACTATTTCCTCGCTGGTAGGACTGTAGAATCTATGTTCTCCCTAAATCATTTTCACTCTTGACTCCTATTGAGAGAAGACAGTATGAAGTGGTATGAGGGGTGTTCTATCATCATCATCTTTTCTGAGCTCCATTTTCTGTTGGAAGGCCTTCAAGCATTCTCTTCCATAGCAATGACACGTGGGCCAATACCTCATCTGTCCCAAGGTAGAAAGCACATCCACATGAAAAAGTGTTAAGAGTGAGCATTTTACTTCAAGTGGTGGCAGGGGTATTAGACTAATCCAGTTAGTCTGGTGGAACTCTTCGGATAAATCAAGAAATAACACAATCTGGATGATCCATTCATTGGGAAGAGCTTATACACGTTAGGAAAATTTAATGAGCAGTTAGCCACGGGAAAGAATGAACGTCTGGTGTTTCAGGGGCTCAGGTTTTAAACTTAAATCTCTGAGTTGGTTTCTTCCAGACTGCATTCACCCCTGTTACCCTTTTCCTGCAACAACAAAATTTACAACGTTTAGTATATGTCCACTAAGCGTTGGGGATTATTAACTAAATATTAAAGATTTTAACCACAAAATGCTTCTTAAAATTTTTTTACAGCTCTAAATTGACTGCTGTTTAGCATAAAATGATTTGAGAACATAAAAGATCTTGTTTTAAAATTTCAAATTCAAATTTAATAGCGAGTCTAAAATATACGCACACTTTTCCCTTGTAAAACCCTTTTTCCTTTTCTTTAGGATGACTGTTACTACCAAGGACACATCGTTAATGAAAACATCTCTGATGCTAGCATTAGCACATGTAGGGGTCTAAGGTAAGCCTTCATAATGGTTTGTACATACCGGTGATGATGGTGTGTACACGTGTGGGTGTGTGTTTTAATAACTGGAAGAATCTCAAGTATAATGAATTATACTAAAGTTAAGTATGAATCCTAAGTGCTTGAAAAATTTGAAATTTGAAGTTAACACAGCTTCTCTTCATAGCAGTTTGTCAATTACACATCAGAATTGCTTGCAGAGTTGTTTTTGTTTGTTCGCTTGTTTTCAAAATACAGGTTTTCGAGTTCTAGTTTTACAGTCAGAATCTTTAGGGAAGGGGATCTCCTCTCTATCTTCTCTCTTCACTTGAAACTCTCTCTCTAGCTTGTCCTATCCATGCCTGTGACATCCATTTCTTTCTGGGTGTTATGACTCCCCATGTATCTGTCTCCAGTAAGATATCAATTCTGATGCCCAGACTTGATTATCTCATCTCCTCTTCTGTATCTCCACATCTCTTCATATCTGGATATCTTAAGGAATTCTCAATCTTAATATACTCCAAATCATATTAATGATATTCTCCCTAAGGTGGTATTTTTCCAGTGTTTCCTATCTCAGCAAACGGTATAGTCAATCAAGCAGTCGCCTCATCTAGAAACCTAGGTTTCTTGACGACTTCTTGCCTCGCAAATACCCGCTTTCAATCCATTGGTAAATCCTATTGATTATACGTTCTAAATATTCCTTGAGATTGTTCACTACATTCTCTCTCTCCTGCCACATCCTTGTCCAAACTGTCATGACCCTTTATGCAGACCATTACAATAAATCACCTAACGAATCTCCCTACACCCACTCTTGTCTTCTAATTCCATGTACACTTAGTCCAGACTCCATTATATGTATTGTACTTTTTCTTGCTAGCAATTATCTGCTGTAGTTACAGATATTACGTATATGTCATATATATATTTATCTTCCTTATTGGAATATAAGCTCCATGAGAGGAGAGACCATGACTCTTTTCCTTTTGCCTTCTGCTATTGCTGCAATGACTAATGAATGATGGGTGCTCCCTAAGTAATGGTTAAATGACTCTTAGGACTTCAGCAGAGAGAGTTGAGAAGAAATTGCTAATATCCATTGATCATGTGCTTTACATATTATCCCCTTCATTCTTTACAACAGGTATAATCATTTCCATTTTACAGATGGGAGAACTAAAGCTATGTGAGTTTAAGTCATTTTCCCACGGTATCCCATCTAGTAAGTGATAGACCCAGAATTTTAACCCTTATTTATAAGTCTCTGAATTCTCTTTTATTGTCAGTGTACCTTTAGAGCAGGCAAGGCAGGGGAATTGGAAAGACATTGGACTGAGAGTCAGGAAATTTCCATTCCAGTGCCAGTTCTGACAGATTAGCTAAATGACTGCAGTAGTCACTTCTCCTCAACAGGTCCAATTTCCTCATAGAGAAAATAAGTTTCAGTAATCTCTAAAGTTCTCTACAGCTTTAATATTGTACTACATTCTACTCCTGCAAGCTTGGAGTACTTTGGTATTGGTAACTTTTTGGCGTCGATAAATTTTTAGTGCTCAAAATGGGAATATTTTTAGGAAGCTTGGATTCCCGTGTTTTTCAGGGGTTTCTTCAGTCAGGGAGGTCACAGCTACTTCATTGAACCTTTAAGCCCTGCAAATCATGACGAACAGGAACACGCACTCTTCAAGCATGATCCCAGTGAAAAGAATACTGACAGCCACACCTGTGGGATGGAGGACATGCTGTGGACACATGGAGTTGATCGGAATGGGGCCCCACCTGTCACCTTTCTGGTTGTATGCCTACTTGCATTTTTTAACTGCAGTGCTCTGATGTATCCTGTCCTGTCTTCCCCGGGTTCCAGTCTTGGCAGCTACAATTGACTGAAACTTTGCAGTCATTGTTCAAGCTAGTAGACTACAGAGACATGAAAACCTTATTGCACATTGATGATTTATTTGATAAGTGTGTATGGATCAACTATTATTAACAACCGTGTGCAAGAGTTAAAAAGATGCACAGATATAACACGGCCGTCTAGAAGCAGACAACTTTCACGATGCTATGGCACACCACCCAGGTGTAAATTATTATTATCGCTTTGAGATAAAATATTCTGCTGCCTTCATGAATGAATTCATTCAACTGATCTTTGCAGTGAGCAAAGTCAATATAGGATTTGCCCACAGGAACATAGAATATTCTTTCATACCTGGAATTCAGCCTCCAGTCAGAGAAGAAAATTGACTGTACCTTGTGTTTGAAACTGTAAAGTATATACAAAAATCTCTGTCATCACTGCCTTCATTTTCACATCTCTGCATTTAATCCCTAGAATAGCACTGCTTATCGCCTGATAGACCCATGTTTGTTTATCCACTGTGAACATCTGAAGCACAGGGACCATGTCTGTTTCACCCCCTCCCCCTAGTGCCCAGAGCACTGTTGGTGCACAGTAAGTGCTAATAAATATGTTGCTCCTGTGGAAGGTGGGTGTATTTAGCCAACAGCCAGAAGTCTGCTTTTAGTAATTGGTTCTTGTTAATGGAATCTTATTAAAAGCCAAACACTTCCAGAAATGCAAGATAATCAACTTTGATGCTTTATTATTTGATACAAATTATGTATCTGATACTTTTTAATGGGATAATCTGAAATAGGCTGGGACCTGCGACCCTTTGCTGCAGTGCTTACACCTTGAGCAACAGAATACAAAGAAACTATAAGGAACTAAAAATGACTGTGTGCATGCCTGTTGGGGAAAATTGTGAGCAATAAGATACAAAAAGACCAAAATTCAACTGCCACTTCTGAGGTGTTTGGGAACAGAAGCAGAGTACTGGGCATGATCCCTGCACATGGAACCTTGAAGGGGGTGGGCCAACCACCTAAGCCACCCCTCCAGCCTGACCCATGGGTCCATCCCTACCCTTATCCTATTTAAGAGACCAGCTCCCCCTCTCGGGGAGCAAGCAAGGGAACCTGTTGCTCATTTTCACTCCCTCCTGCTGCAACATGAGTCCCAGTAAAGTCTTGCCTGAATTTCTCCTCTGGCCTCTTACCAATTTCTATTAATTAAAGAGTCCAAGACCACAGGTCAGTAACAAATACACTATGAAACATGTATTTTGGTTTTGTTTTGTTTTGTGGAAAGAAAGAGACTGAAAATAGGAAAGCTTGGACTGTGGGAAAGAGATCCAGCTCTGAGAAGAAAAGAAACAGACTAGGTGTCGTGGTTCTGGGCTGTGCATCATTGTTAAAGGAGGGGGTCTTCACTGGGATAGGAATAAAAGGCAAGCAAAACAAAACAAAACCCTAGGAGGTTAACATGTCTGTTTCACGGCACAATAGTGGAGAAAACCCACTCTTCAAAAGATCTGAAGACTTTGGCTTTATTTTTAGCACTCTTATTGATTATTTGCGTAATCCTTTAAACTCTTTGGTAAAATGAAGGGGCCAGACTCGACTCTCACTAGTGTCTCTTCTACCTCTGTCATCACTGAGTCTTGTCTATAGATGAGTCTAGCTGGTTATTTAGAGTTAAATGGTAGTGTTGTTTTCCTTGATTCCCAGGTATCAACCAGCTCTTAACAAAATTACACGTTTCAAATTAGAGAATGACTCTTGCAGAGAAAGATATTGTCTTAGTAATTTTCCTTTTTATGTTTATTACAGAAATCCAAAGACCGGAAGTCTCGGGAACATAAGAAGTACATAGAATATTATTTGGTCTTGGATAATAGTGAGGTAATTGTATCAAATAAATGTGTTTTTTAAAATGCTCTTCTACGTAACTTTATTATGTGAGATATTAAATATATGGGTAAGGTTTTAAAAATCCTGAATATGAGCTATTTGTTTTTATAAATTATTTTGAAACCTAGGAAATTTGACATATAATTAGAATAACATGGTTTCACCTTTTAAAAAATGTACACGTAATGTGTTATGCATAAACTGGTTTTTTTGCACTATAATGCTCCTTTCTTATTGTTTTAAGAGCTTCAAACTTATTTTCCAATTAAATTCCTTTGTCACTTTGTCTTCTGTTAAGTAGTTAAATCATTGATAAATTAAAGTTTGTGCTCCTCAGGGAGTGGTAAATAAAAAAGAGTAATGAATAGAATCTTACAAAAAAAGCAATTTGGGGGTAAAAGTCATTGTTTATCTTCTTTTATGATTTTTTTATATCATCGATTGTTCTGAACCTGAGATCCACACGAGTGATCTCAAAAGGAAAAATTTTGTATTATTATGAGTAAGTTAGTTCAGACCCTAAAGCTTTGGCTCTCTTATTATACAAAATTAATTTACTGTTCATAATTTTTTTAAGTGAATAAACTTCCTCACACTAATTCTGCCTAGCTTAGGAAACCATGGTATTGAAAATATATCTGGAATAATTCCTTAGAGCTTTACACTGAGCTGGTCCTTCAGGGGACAAAACATCATCTCTTCTCCCAAAGTGCTTTAATTTAGCTAGAAAGACAAGGAAGTACTTTGTTTCTAATGTTTAAATGCTAACTTTTATAACTGATCATTAATTATAGTAACAAGTAAAGTGAAATTGTTTTTTTTTAAACTTCCAATTATATACATTTCTCTCAATGTCTATATTTTGTCTTGGCTGTTTTTTAGTTTAAAAGATACAATGAAGACCCAGAGAAAATAAGAAAGAGGGTGCTTGAAATGGTCAATTACATCAACATGGTATGATATATTTTATTAAGTGTAATTTTAACAGTTTTCTAGGCTGTGTCATTGAGTGTTTCTGCAGATGCTCATGAAGCCAGGAAGAAAAGCCCTTACTCCTTAGGCTAATTCTACTGACTGGCTCTTGAAGGGTGACCACAACTTTGGTGTCTTAATTAAATATTAATATTACATGAAAAAGATGTTTCTTATCTACTTGCCATACTATTTTCCATGGTCCATGAAGTTATAGAAGGTAGTTTTATTTCAGTGGTTTTTGTTTTCTTACAGCCCAGTAAGAAAATGCTGACAAACAAATCTCCACAGAAAACCAATCTAAGGAAGAAAACAGAAAAAAACAACCAAACAACAAACAAAATAAGCCAAGCTCTGGTAGTCAATCCCATTATCTCATTTAATCCTTGGACAACCCTACCATATTATTAAACTTAATTTCTAGCTAAAGGATTAGCTTCTGAGAAGCAAAGTAACTTCCCTAAAATCAGAAAGTTAGGAAATTACAGCAATAAGATTTGAATTTGGAATGGTTAGATTTTAAAGCCCATTTCCACAGTGCAATTGTTGATTCTGTCCTTTAAACATGATTTTATCATCTACTATTCAAAAACTTTTTAAAAAAAAAGTGATTTTTTAATCCCTTCTGTTGAAATCTTTTTAGTTTCTTGAAAGCTGAATGTATAGTTAGCCTACTTAGTTGAAATAGCTGAGTCACTCGTGGTCCTGCAAATCCTCTAAGGATAGAAAGAAAATGAAGGTGGATTTAATGACCAAGGTCATAGCTCATCGCACCACAAAAATTGTTTTGCTTCCTCTTAAGGAGCCACAAGAACACCTACTTTGTGCCAGGTACTAGATTATAGAACTAAAATGGGGAACAAAACAAAACTGACAAATATCCCTTTTTTCAAGGAGTTATTCTTTCCTCCTGGGAGGGAGTTAACATTCTTGTTCAAGGAGGCAAACAAACAGGTCAAAGAGTATGTAAGATGATGATAAGTGCTATAAAGAAAAATAAAGCAGGATTAAAAGAGAGACGAGAGACTGAGCTATTTCGGGTGCTTAGATAGGGAACACCAAGTAGGGAGATTGTGTCATAATTCAGGGCAGGAGATGAAGGCAGCTTGAGATAAAGCAGTGATGGGGGACCTATTGAGAAGAGCTGAACTCTGGATAGAGTTGACAGGGTTTATGAGGTGGGTAGGAGATGAGACATGTAAGAAAAAGAGAGGAGTTAAGTGACAACTTCAAGAATAGGAAACAATAGTAGGGGATAATGGAAATCTATCAGAGGAAGCTTAGGATTTCCATTTGGGACACATCAACTTTGACCTGTCTCTTTGTATAAAGATTTCTAGGTGGAAATGCTGGATATACAAGATTGGAGTTCAGAGCAAGGTCTGGGTGGTGATAGAAATCTATATCTTCAGTACATATAGATGGCATAAGATACCGGTCAGCAAACTGGCACCTGTGAACCTACTTTTGCCTGTTGTGTTTTTATAAAATAAAGCTTTATTTAAACACAGTCATTCCCATTTGTTTACATTGTCTATGGCTGCTTTCCTGCTACAATGCCAGAGGTGGTGAGTAATTGCAACCAAGGCCACATGGCTTCAAAGCCTAGAATATTTTATATCTGGACCTTTACAGAAAAAGGTTGCCAACCCTGCTGTAAGACCAACCAAGGGAGTGGGTGTAGATAAGTAGAAAAAAGACACAAAGATAAACCCTTGAATAACTTCTTTGAGAAGAGGTAAGAGTGGCGGCGAGATCAAAGAGGAGACAGGGAGGTTGAAAGAAAACTAGGAGAGATGCTGTTTCAGAAACTGCTTGAAACAAAAATCTATCAAAGGAAGGAATGATCAATGATGCTAGATGCTTCTGAGTGTTGCAGCAAAGTGTGTTACATCTCAGTTGTGACAGCAGTCTGGATCCGGGCGAGAAACCAAGCAGCACTCAGAGGGTTGGAGAACTCAGGTTTATTACGCCAGCGGGCCCAGAGGAGTTAACACTCCAAGCTCTGGACCCTGTCTGTTGGTTTATACAGGCTTTTATAGGCTGCCAGTCTAGACTTTGCAACATTTTGTAACATCATATGCAAATAAGGTATAACAAAAGTGACTAATTAGGAACAAGCTTTGTAGAAATGGGCCAATCAGGAGTGAGGGAAATGGACCAATCAGGAGTAGTAGAAATGGGCCAATCAGGAGTTAGCTCAGGAAACCAACAGAATCTTAGGGGTAAGTTCCACTTTCCTAGAAGTAAGCCATTTCAGAGGAAAAACGTGAGATAATGCCCCTCAGCCAGGGAACCGGATGGTGCTGGCAGGAGAGTAATGGCCCTGGCTGGGGGTCCTGCTGGTCTTTTTCATGGGGCTTCCCACCTCATGAGGACCAGGGATTGGCCGTTGGATTTAATAATATGGAGGTTCTATTATAGGGGCAGGGGATTAAGAGGTACAAACTATTATGTATAAAATAAGCCACAAGGATATACTGTACAGCACAGGGAATATAGCCAATATTCTATAATAACTATAAATGGAGTGTAACCTTTAAAAACTGAATCGTATATATACTTGTACACCTGCAAATTATATAATATTGTATATATCAACTATACTTCAGTACAAAATTTTTTTTTTAAATAGAAGTTATTGGTCACCTGAATGAAGCAAGTTTCTGTGACATGGAACAGTAAATAGGGAGTCCAGTAATGAGAGAAGTAGAATTGGAGACAGCAAATACAGAAATTTTTCCCCCCAAAAGTTTGGCTATACATGGGAGCCAAGATACGGGGCTTAAGTCAGAGGAAGAAGGACATAAAGAGAAATTCTCCCCCTGCCAAGATGAGTCAACCTTTTCATGCTAAACCACACAGAAGGCTAAACCTGATGATGCAAGGAAGATAGAAAGCCTTGCTGGAGTAATCTCTTTGATCTGGGAGAAATAGCAGGTCCCGTGCATGAGGGGAGAAGTTGGCCCTGGGCTCACAGACCGTTCATTCATATAGGGAAGAAGGGGGAACCCAGGGTGTTTGAACAGGTGTTGGGCCGGTGGGTAGACGGGGTGGGAGCTTGTGGACGTTCTCTTCCGGTTGAGTCTATAACCTTCAGTGAACTTGGAAGCAGGGGCCATCTTCTTAAAGTGAGGGTTTCCAAGAAAGTGTCAGAATTTTTGAGAAAGAGGAGGAAGTAGGAAAGAAATGTGCAGGAGGCTGTGAGAGTGAATGGATTTTGGAAATGGGGCGGGTTTGCTGGAGGATGGAAAAGACCACTTGAGGTTAGCAGTCGTGGCTTCTAAGAGAAAGCCAGCATCTGTGTGTTTCCCGTGTCTGTGTCTGGGGCTTGGGGGAGGAGAGACAGAAGGCAGAGGTGGTTTTAACCAGGATTGGAGTTTTGTCAGGTGAGTAAAATGAAGCAACAAAGGAGTGAGAAGTTGAGAGGAAAAAAACAAGGAGAGGTTTTGAACCTGGTTAGATTTTTACTTCTCTTTTGATGATAATTGCATTCCTCAATGCTTTTATTGTTTCCCAAACTACTGGGGGAACAAATCTCTCCTCAGGTTTCTCAGCAGGGAGTTGCCCCATGAGAAAGCCTGTAACTGTGCAGTTTTCCCCCAGCTTCACTGGGATATAATTGGCTTATTACACTGTGTAAATGTAAGGCTTCAGTGTGTTGATTTGATGCACGTATATTGCAAAATGATTACGTTAGCTAACCTAACGGATTGGCTAGCACGTCCATCACGACCATTTCTTGTTCGTGGTGAGAACATTAAAGATCTACTCTCTCAGCAATTTCCAAGCATATAATACAATGTTATTAACTATAATCACCATGCTATACATTAGATACCCAGAACTTCAGCATCTTGTAACTGGAAGTTTGTGCTCTTTGACCAGCACCATGCAGTTTTATAAACTACTGTAAAAATGTAAGTTTTTATCTTTAGAGTAAATGCATTGTCTCATAAGCTTAATTCGTTGTTTCTAAAGGTTATTCTATATGCATTGTAGATTATTTGGTTCAGTCCAGTCTTAGAGGACCACTGCCTTTATTGTAACTCACATATGCAGGACTTTTTCACAAAGTGTGTTCCTTTTCTAGTGCCCAAACCAGCATGGAGTCAAGCTTGCTAATTCTGAAATAGTATGACTCTGAGAAAGCTGCAAGCATTTGAGGAAACATAGGTACAGTGAACTACTAGCAGGAAATGACAATATTTCTTGAGGTTGCGAGAAGGAGAAGTTTGCCTTAATAGGACTTCTGTTCAAAAAAAAAAAAAGGAGTTTATAGGCCTGAAATATCTAAGAATGTCTGCCTTCTCTGCAAATGGGGATGCTAACGTCTGCCAGAAAAGATGGTAACTCCCATTCCACAAGTATGTTTGGAAAGGTTTTCACAGTGTCGTTGTAAAGAAGTTTGAAAAATCTGAAGTACCTTGAAAACATTAAAAAATAATAGCTCCATTATGAGTTGTTGCTTTGCCATGTATTCTCTTTCAACAGCTTTATAAAAAGCTCAATACTCACGTGACCTTAATTGGGATGGAAATCTGGAATGATGGGGATAAGATACCGGTAACCCCAAATGTAAGCTTGACCTTGGACTATTTTTCTAACTGGAGGGGTTCCGTCCTCCTAAAAAGGCAGCGTCACGATGTTGCTCAGCTAATCACGTATGTATCGATCTTCCCCTTTGTACATTCTGTGATATTTAGCACAGACATTTTTCAAAGCAAATGCTATCTCAGGCTATTGGGTAAGAGGAAGTGGGTTACACACACAGCATTAAAATTTTAGAAAGTATTCATTTGGATGTTGCGTTGACCATGCTCTTACTTTGTTCCCAGTATTTGGGTTTTTTTCTCTCTCTTTTATAGAGAAGCTAATAATTTAGCAATAATTCATAAGAAGCTTGTTTGTTTTGACTGAATCTAACACTGAGGAAAGACGGGTTTACATAATGGCAAAAGAGATTTAGATTCATTGTTTTAAGAGAACTGGTTCATCTTACCCACCAGTCAGGACAAATTTCTAGGATAGAAGGAAAATTGAACATTATATCCTAATCCCATACTTCTACCATCCTGTTGAAATGACTGATTAGTGACTAAATAAAAAAAAAAAACAGGGGAAATCAATTTAACTGCTATAAATTACACAAGACTGGTGAGTACAGACCTTGAAAAAATTCTGCTGGATAGTTTGCGGCTGGACTTATATTGCAGCAAAGAATGACTTAAAATCACTTGAGTTTCACTTCCTGAAAAAATAGTGGATGTCATGGGAAATAAGTGGACTGGGTCCTGGCCAAATTAATTAATATTCTGTGCTGGTTATCTGTTACTGCATAACACATCAGCCTACAACCTCCTGACTTAAAGTAAGTCTTCTTCGTTTATACTTCTAGTTCTTGCCTGGTGCTGGTTGGTCATCTCTTTGTACATACAGCTTTTCATGTGTCTCACTTGGACTTCCTTCAACATGGAAGTCTCAGGTTTCTGGACATCTTGCAAGGAGCTGGCTTTCTCCAAAAGAAGCAGTCTAAGAGGCTCAGGACAAAGCTTCAAGTCTTCTTATGACTCAGTCTTAGAAATCACACATGTCACTTTTGGCGTATTCTGTTGAAGAGAAAGTCATAGACCTGTCCAGTTTTAGGGAAGGTAGCACACAGGCGAGGAAGTCGGCAAGGCTGGCTCACGGGGTTTCCCTTGAAGGGCAGGTACCACAGTTCTTTAATGTGAAAACATGAGTTACAGACTCAAGGGCCCACCGTGGGACAGAGCTCAGTTTTGGAGAGGGCTGGTGATTTTCCAGGGTCTCACAGATAGTGAGTAGTAAGGGAATTCAACTCTTACCAGACTTGTTCCAGGACCAAGCTCAAACTGCAGTAGAATCTCATATTGTGAAGTAATAGGGTAGAGAGATACAAATCATAGCCAAGTCGATAGATGTATAGATAAAAAATGGTCATACAACATCACAAGCAGATTTCTTAAATGGACCAGAATATGATAGGAGGAAATAATTGCTCTTTCACGTGTAAATTGAAAGCCTTACTATTTACTCAACAAATTAAAGTATACCTATACCTAGGCATAACCAGGTATGAACCTTTGAGTCCAAATATAGTTGACTCCATAATAGGGGAAGATTTTATTTTTTATATAAGAGCTGATAGTAAATTAAATCCACAAAAATGTAGACTTAAATATAAGTAGTTTTACAATGTAATTTTAAAAGAGAATGTAAATGCCTTAGATCTTTAAAGCACCATGTATGATACAAAGTATCATTTCAAAATAACAGATATTGAAAACTCCATAGGGAATGGAAAGTGAGAGGAGATTCTCTAGCTTCCACATGTGTCATGGAAAAATGAATCCCCTCCATTCTTGATGTTGATAAGTGGGAAAATACAGATTCAACTTTTTATGTGAATGCATCTCCTAAGGGAATTTTTTGAATGATGCATGCCTTGTGAACTTCTAGAGAGAAACCAGGACCAGGGTCTTGAACAGATGGCAAAGTCATAATAACAAGAGACACGTGGAGTCATTACCAGTTGAAAGAAAAACAAAATGAAACAAAATCAAAAAAAGAAATTAAAATGACAAAAGGCCAAACATATCATCTATGTCAATAAATTACAGGTGGCTCAAATCCCTCTTCAACAGGATGAATATTTCAATTGCATAAACGCTTCAAACACAAAGGGGCCCAAACTCCAAACTCCAAATCCAACTACAGCTAAAACAGTGCTAAAAGGAAACAAATGTAAACATATGTAGAAATATTTGAGGGAAATAATTAAAACAAAGCTTATATGATAACACTAATATTAGAAGAAGAAAAAATATATATATAAAGCAAACCATCTATTAGAACAACAACAAAAAAAATCCCTCTTTATTTCCCAACAAGGGATGAATTCCACAATGAAAAATACAATAATAATGAGAGATATAAACTATTAAAAGTGATTACATCCAGAGGCTTGGATTTGGGTGGTACAACCATTGTGCATATAAAAAAAAATGCCTCATGCAAACTCAAAAACTGAAGGGAATACTTAGGAGTGATGATTCACAAGGTGAGTTTCTCCGCTAATCAGGGTTCTGGAGGAATTGTCTACAGAAAGTGTACTTAGAATCATATGTTGTATCCATTTCTTCCTTTTTTTCCAGGGCCACAGAATTTTCTGGAACGACTGTGGGCCTTGCTTTCATGTCTACAATGTGCTCTCCTTATCATTCTGTCGGCGTCATTCAGGTTTGTTTAAACTGTTGGTTCTGCAGTTCAAGTCTGTCAAATGCTGTTTTGCTGAATCTGTTGAGAAGATCATGGAGTTTTCCTCCTTCCTGCTAGACAGTGTCTACCTGGCTTTTACTTTTTATCTAATTTGACAATTTCTGTCTCTTATTTGGTATATTTAAATAATTTATATGTAATGTAATTATTGATTTTTTTTGGACTAAAATCTTTCCTCTTGCTTGATGTTTCCTATGCCGTCTCTTCTGTTTTTTTCTGCCTTCATTAGCATTGAGTAATTTTAAAAATAATTTATCTCTATTATTCGCTTTTTATTGATTTGTTTAATTTTAATGGTGCCCTGGGGTTTATTATACATCTCTGCTTGTCTGTTTTGCCTTGAAATAGTATTAAGCTGCTTCACGTGTAGTATAAGGACGTTACATCTCTCATTACTCCCTTCCATCCTTTGTGCTGTTTTTATCAGATGTTTAACTTTATATACGCTATAAATATAAACTGCATTGTTACTAATTTTTCTTTGAAGTCATCTTTCAATGCAATTTAAGATGAGAAAAAAATAGTTTTACATTTGTCTAATCTTTCCTGTTGCTTACTTTGGCTGCATTCCTAACATTCTTCATTTCTTTGCAGAGATAAAAGTTTCTATCTGGCATAATTTTTCTTTCTTCCTGAAGAATTTTTGTTTAATATTTCTTGCAATACAGGTCTACTGTCAGTGACTTCTTTCCATTTTTTTTCAGAAGATGACTATTTCTGTCTTGTCTTATGTTTAAGTCTTGCCATTTTGAGTTTATTTTTGTCTATGGTGTGAGGGAGTCATCTAACTTCATTGATTTACATGCAGCTGTCCAGTTTTCCCAACACCATTTGCTGAAGAGACTGTCTTTATTCCACTGTATGTTTCTGCCTCCTTGACTTCAGACAATACTACAGAGCTACAGTAATCAAAACAGCATGATACTAATACAAAAACAGACATATGGATCAATGGAACAGAATAGAGAAATAAACCCACAAACTTTATGCAGTTAATCTTTGACAAAGGAGGCATTACACACAATGGAATCTAAAAAAAAAAAAAACTTACTTACAAAACAGAAACAGACTCACAGACATAGAAGACAAACTTATGGTTACCAGGGGAAAGGGGGTAGAAAGGGATAAATTGAACTCTCAATTTATGAAAATGAATATATGTATATTCATGTATGACTGAAGCATTGTGTTGTACACCGGAAATTGACACAACATTGTAAACTGACTATACTTCAATAAAAATATATTTAAAAAATACTTGATTACACCCCAAGTGATAATTCAGTTTGCAAACCAGAGGCTCTGTCTCCCTATTCTCTTCCTCAGGACCATAGTGACAACGTGCTTAGAGTGGCAGGGACCATGGCACATGAAATGGGTCATAACTTTGGAATGTTTCATAACTCCAAGTTGTGTAAGTGCCCGTCTACAAACTGTGTGATGGACAGAGCACTAAGGTGAGCGTTTCTGGGAAGATGCTGTTTATCCCTACTTTGGGATCACTCTGGGCAATGCTCCTCTTTTATGTCTTCTTCAGCCAACACGTTCACACTTTCAAATTACTCAATAGCACATAATCACGGATGTGTATCTATACAAAGCCACCTTGTATCTCATCTCTCTGTAATGTTTTTCATCAACTGAGACATCGTTTAAACACACTGTCTCTGCTACTGGGGAGATATGCCATTTTATCGTCATCTTGTCTCCCCGAGACCTAGTGTCAGAAAATCATTAGCATTTATTAAATTTTCAGGGAATTCAGCTTGGGTGGTGGTTAGGGAAAAGTTCTAGGAGAAAAATCTGATTAAAGAAGAATGTTCTCACAGGAAGATGAAGAATCTTTGAAAAGGGATTACACATTCCTGCCTTGCCTTAGGTGAAATTGCCCTGGAATTTTATCTTCAGAAACCCCACAATCCCTTTTGTATGTTCATTTCTCTTTTCTAGTTCCCTCTCCCAGCTGACTCAAGCTCGGGTTAGTCTCCCAAGCCCTTCCACAGAGGAGGGTACGGCTGCATGCCGGTTACGCATCTTCTGTCATCCCTCCCAGATATCACTGCGTTTCCAAATCTCATCTTTATTTGTGGAATCGAGAGAGTCTGTCAATACAAATTCCTATGAGGAAAAGTGAATTCTTACACGTGTAGATAAATATGATTTTTACTGCCTTTAGGACTTCACCACCAAAATGACCTAAGCTGAATAGGATTACCCAGATAAATTAGAAGGATTTTTATTTTATTTTATTTTACACATTATATTGCATGTAAATACATATATACGGTATATTGCACATTTTTTAGCTTGCATATATGTAGTAATTATTGTTTCTAAGAACAGATTAGATCTTTAGCCTTTTAAACTTAACGTAGTTATCAAAGGAAAAGCCAACTACGAAATAATAATCAACAGAATGTGGTAATCCAATCATAAAGGACAGTCATATTCAAGAAATCAATCATCTTAGTTATAAATAATAAGTAGCTCATTTGTGTCCTTATTATTATTGTTATGTTTTTATTTTATTAAACCTGGATGTGCTATTTTGAGATATGACCATACTTGCTCATTAAGCCGGAAGTGTTTATATCCACCCAGGGGGCTAATTCAGGCATGAAAAAGGAACTCATGATTTAGCAGTTGATGAGTAGATTTAAGTGGATCCTTTGGGTCAGGTTTCGAGTGTAGCACACCCAGTGTCTGGTATGTCTCCCTACCTGCATCCCCAGCGTGATGGTAGTCTGTTTTCTCTTTCCTTATCCTCACAGCTTCTACATCCCTTCGGACTTCAGCTCCTGCAGCCGAGCCAGCTATGAAAAGTTCTTTGAAGATAAATTATCAAATTGCCTCTTTAATGCTCCGTTGCCTAGGGATATCATATCCCTCCCGGTTTGTGGGAACCAGCTGTTAGAGACGGGAGAAGAATGTGATTGTGGGACTCCCGAGGTACCAAGTTCTTTCTAAAATGATCTAGTTTGAGGGGAGGGTAAAGGTCAATGGTAGAGCATGCATGAGGTCCTGGGTTCAATCCTCAGTACCTCCATTAAAGTAAAGAAGGCGAGAAACCTAATTACCTCCTCCCTGCCAAATTTTTTTAAATTAAAAAAAGATCTAGTTTGTTTTTCAATTACTATCAAAGGATGTGGGAGTCACTAAAAAACTGCCTGCTGCTTTAACATTGTGTAGGTGTTTGTTTGTAGACCCACGTCAAGCCAGCCTCTCTGACAAAAACCTCTGCATCGCTTAAGGCCTTCCTGGTTTCTGTCTCAGGGTTCCTTCTCCATTGCCTGTTTTTTAAGTTCCACTCACCCGCTTGGGCTTCGTGTCCTCATCCCTCCTTTTCTAGCAGGAATACTTCATGTTTCTCACGTGCCTAAGACTCACAAAGCAGTCAGGCCCAGCGCGGTGGTAGCTTAGAGAGCATAAATGGCTTGCCCAGGGTCACTGAGCTGGTAAATGGAGGAGCCAAGACCTGGGTTCAGGGTGTGTGTTTCAGTAATCCTACAGCCACCCCGCCCTGGGATTGGTCCTCTCTTACTGCTTTGGGGCTCAGGAGTTGTTTCCATTAGAAGTGCCTGGCTTGATCTCACCCTCCTGACGGGGCAACCAGGGTTCTGCATGGGACCTTTGCCCCTCTGTTATTAACATCTAATGTGAATAACACGCCAAGCCCTCAGGGGATCGATCGCCTTTTCAGTAACTTCAAAATAGGATTACGCATTTATTCCTTCTATGAGAAAAAGGAGTCTTTCCCAGATGATGGCTTTGTTTGAAATAAGGGCAAGAGTTTTAACCCTGGGTATGTGTAATTCTAAATACATCGCTCCTCTTGGGGAATCTCGCAGCTACAGGGAGAAGTTTCTGAAGTAGGCGTTTCCCTGGTGCCTCGTGCAGGCGCCCCATTTCTTGGAAACAAGGCAGGGAGAACCAGACGAAGTATACTGATTCACAGAGTTTGAATTAAATGTCCAACTTGAACAAAAAACTATATTTTTAGATTTTCAGTACATGTTCTTAAGACTAAATTTACTTCTGGATAAATACAAAATTGATGAGCTGAGCTAATTATGTTCTTTAACTATTTAGATGAATTTTATTTTTTAAAAAACTCCCTTTGCATCTTTAGTATTATTATGGGAGATTAAAGGAACTAGAAAACATATTTAAATTTAAAAAAGATGTAAGTAGAATTCAGATAAACAACAAACCACCAGTTGCTGCAAAATCTCAACATTGCTAATGTTATGGGTTTTTTTTTTTCCCTGAAAATCATTTTCAGACTGTATCAAAATAAGGTCTCTGTGATGAGTAAATTATATTGTGAATTTCACTGAAATGAGACCAAAAGGTAATCTGGCCGTTGCATTTGTTTCTGGTCTTCCTTAGGAATGTACCAACATTTGCTGTGACCCTAAAACATGTAAAATCAAAGCAAGTTTTGAATGTGCAATAGGAGAATGCTGTGAAAAATGCCACGTAAGATTATTATTTTATTCTGTCTTAATAGTTATGCTTACTCTTTGTTCTGTATTAAAATCTTAGGGATTATGTTCAATGAAATAGGCAAAGTAACATTTTTCTGTCTATAAGATAATGTTACCTCCCATTTATCAAGTCCTCGCTGAGTGCTTTGCAAACGAGGCTATTTAATCCTCCACGTCCTTTGAGGTTGATATTATTTGATTTTGCTTTTGAGGGAGCAGAGTCTCAGTACAGAAAATGTGCAAAATAATAGAGCCATTAAATGGTAAACTCCAAAAACGATGTTCCAAAAGCCAGCGCTGGTTACTACTGTTAGGGAGTCCAGACTTGTTCTGCTCACCGCCAAGACAGGCCTATAAATCAGGAGACGAGGTATGGGGGCAAGGAAAAACGACTTTATTCGGAAAGCCAGTGGACCGAGAAGATGACAGACTATGTCCTGGAGAACCATCTTCCCCAAGTCAATTCAGGCTCCTTTTATACTAGAAGGAGGGGTGATATAAGGGTGGTTAGTTGCAAACTTCTTGGTGTCAGAATCCTTTGCTGTTGCAGGTCCTGTAAACCTCCAACAAGACAAATGTTATTCTCTGTTTTGCAACTTTTTATCTCTACGTGAATGGAAAAGTCTTACACCCTTAAAGACCAGAGTCTTGAGAATGGGCTGTCCTGTGTATTTCAGGCTATAGGCAACATTCTTTTACAAAGGATGCAGAACCAGAGTGACTAAGTGACTGAGCACAAAAACAGGGCACAGGGTTAGAGCTAAAGGAAGAGATCTAATAGATTTGTTCTTCCCGATTACATTCCTACTTGCTGCTGCTTCTAATGCTACCTGGCTTTTTTGGACCAAATACGAGAATTGGTGGCATATTCCTTTTGTCCACAAAATTAATCAGCCAATCTAAGAAAGAGATGGAAGATTTTATTTGCGCCAAATGGAGGATTATAACCCGGGAAGAACATCTCAAAAGCTCTGAGAACTGTTGGGTCCATTAGAGATCAAAGCACAGTCACGTAAGCTGTAGGGGGCAGAGGGCTCCGCGTTAAATGGCATAGTAATGACAGTTTACAAAAATCCAGATCTAAGCATCATCGTGGTCCCTTACAAGGTCACGCAGGAATGTTATCTTTAAGGAGTTTCTTACTGATGCTCGGAAAAGGTTGGTCTTTACGGTTGACCAGGTATTTCTGCCGATAGGGGAAGTTCAGTTGATGCGAGGACACAATGCACAGTAGAGGGGAGAGAGGAGGCCAAAGGGCAGAGATAACATTTTATGTTTTAATTTTCTTGTCTTGCCATAAAATATGAATTTTATTTCACAATTTAATAATGGTTTAGTGGAAAAGACTTTTTTAGAATAATGTGGGGGCTCCTCTATCTTCAACCTTTGAAGTCAGTTCACGGTGAAAATCTCAGAGGAAAAAAAGCCCTAAGGTGAGGATGCTATGTCATTGTCTCTGTAGGGCTTTTTTGACTTTCTCTTCAAGTTTAGCATTTTATATTCTGTGTTACGGAGAATTCTGTATTACGATTATTTGTTTATGTCTTCTTAATTAGACTGACTTCTAAAATCTGGTGTTTGATTCATGCTCATCTAATAGAATTGCATCCATTTAAAATGCTCAATAATTATTTGTAAAAGAAATATGTAGATGGCATACCAAGTTATAGGTAGGATTTAGGACAGGTGCACTTTTGTTGTTGTTGTTGTTTTTTAATGTTGGAGGGAGAGGAAAGAAAGAAAGGAGGCCAAAAGGAAGAAAATTTGAGAACTTAAGTAGTATTCAACAGGTGTTTATTAAGTCCTATTTGTTAGAGATTGTAGGTGATTTTTTTAAAAAAGTAGTATTTGACCCCAGTGATATACATACCTGAAACAGATGAAAATGTAATGCATGATTAAATGCTCAGGTAGATATTAGAATGACATATGGCTTTTGGGTGATACTTCTCGCATATATTTTTCATATAGCTTTCAAAAGGACCTTGTGAAGTTAATACTAGATTGGGAATGGATTTTCAGACAGATTAAAGCCATCTGCTAAGGATACACGTCTAGCCACTGGCAGAGCCAAGATTCAAACCTGTATCTTTCAGATCCCAGTTCAGGGCCCTTTTCTCACCACACATAGAAAAGAGGAGCAGCGATGGGCATTGAAGAAGTCAGAGAAGCAGGGCAGCCTGTATTTGGATGGTTTCATATTCTTCAATGAAAATTTGGGTTTTATTCCATCACCAGCATAAAGATACTGAAAGTCCTTGGATGGTATGAGAACATGCCTGCTCACTTCAGCTAGGGAAGAGAATGCTTCCGGTATCCACATGGGCCTCTTCAGTTTTGCATGAATGGCGGAATTTGTTTTACGAAGGTTTCTCTGAGGAAATAAGAACAAGATTTGCAGTAACAGGCTGCAAAAGCGTTAACACGTCAAATGAGTATTTACGTGTCTCTCCCTCACGATAAATCATTCCATAGGAAGCAGTGAGCTGAAAAGGAATATCTGAATATACAATAAAAGGAATTAAGGATTAGGAAACGTGATGCCTGGGAAAGCCTCCGAGCATGCTGATCTGGGCTTGAAAACAAACTTACCTTCCTTACTATGGGAGATACACTTCAAGAAATCTCTGAAGCTGCAGATTTAAATCTCCTTGAAAAAACTCGACAAAGCTGTGTTCAATAAAGGGAGAAATAACTTCCTTCTGTGCATCTAAGATATTGCTTGGTTTTTCTGCTGTATTTTTTCATTGTTATTTCTATAGTGTTTGCTCTACATATTCAGAAATATTGATTCCTTCACGACTCAGGGCATTGGCCAAAGTCAAAGGAAGTAATATCATGGGAGACAGTTTTAGCTTATACAGTGCAAATGTAAGCAGAAATAGAATGATGCCTCTAACTACCTTGCCCCCCCCCCAAAAAAAAGTCCATAGGGAAAATGTTACTGGCGTCAATTTGAGCTTTTAGGGTAGGTCAGGTGGAAAAAAGCCTTTTCTCCATTTTTACTTCCCTACAGTTTAAAAAGGCTGGTGCGGTCTGCAGACCAGCAAAAGATGAGTGTGACCTGCCCGAAATGTGTGTCGGCAACACTGGTCTTTGCCCTGATGATCGGTTCCGAGTGAATGGCTTCCCTTGCCAAAATGGGAAGGGCTACTGCTTGATGGGGATGTGCCCCACTCTGCAAGAGCAGTGCGCGGATCTGTGGGGACCAGGTAGGAGGACAAACCGCGTCGTGGCTGGCATTCCTGCCTCCCTCTATGCGCATGCGGAGGAAGATGATATTCTTCTAGGTGGCAGAGTTTCATCATGGCCAAAGTAGCGTCCTGGCCCGTTCTTTCTTCTTAGAGATTGTGCCACTGCTTAGAATCTTGCATAAGTAGTCAACTTTGGTGTTGCCAGATTTAGCAAATAAAACTAAAGATGGCCTGGTTGAATTTGAATTTCAGATTAACAATTTTTTTTTTTTAGTATCAGTACATCTCATGAAATATTTGAGTCAGAGATACACTAAGAAAAAGTCTTTGTTTATATGAAATTTACATGTAACTAGGTGTCCTGTACTCTATCTGGCAACCCTAACCAAAATCCTTCTCAGTCAATGAAACCCTTGGAATTGTGTTTGTGTGTGTGTGCGTGCGTGTGTGTAGGGGTAGCAAGAACGTTGGAAGGTAGGCGGAGAGTAAGGAAAAGGAGAGAAAAGAAAAAGAGGACTCTGGGAATACAGAGGAGCGGTGAGGAAAAGTGAAAGCTCTTAAATGTTCATTTTGTCCAGAACATCGGAATTTTAGATGTCATATTCTCTGATTGCCCCATGAAACAAATTAAAAATAAAAGCATAACTTAAGAATCCTCATAGGTTTTGGAGGGGGAAGGAAGAGTATTAATTTTATTTTTTTATTGAAGTATATTCAGTTTACAATGTGTCAGTTTCTGGTGTACAGCATGAAGTTTCACTCATGCATGTAATCATGTTCTTTATCATTATAGGTTACTACAAGATACTGTGCTATACAGTATAAACTTGTTATTTTATCCATTTATAGTAATTGGTATCTGCAAATCTCAATCTCCCAATGTGTCCCTTCTTCATATCTCCTTTGCCCCTGTTAATCAGTAAGTTTGTTTTCTATATCTGTGAATCTGTTTCTGTTTTGTAAATAAGTTCATCTGTGCCCCCCCGTTTTTTTTTGGATTCCACATACGAATAATATTTCATAGGTTTTTGATTACTTTTAACTTCACGGTTATTTTTTCAAAGGCTGGATTCATATTTTCCTGGTCTTGCTTATTGAGCTTTAAGGGGAGGCATCCCTGCACAGAGAAGGAGCAGAGGCCTTAGATGGATCAAGCTGGGTGTGAAGTCTGGTTTTTCCATCTCTCTTTCTGTAACATTAATCAAATCATCCTCCACTTCTTTATTGATAAAATGGGAATGCTAATAAGAATGGTTATTACATGTACTGTTGACCCAGCACTGTTCTCAGTGGCTCACACATATTAACTCATTTAATCCGCATAACAACCCCATGGGGTGTACTATTATGTAATCCTCATTTTACACGGAGCAAATCAAGGGGTTAAGGTACTTGCCCAAGATCACAGAGCTCTTAACGCCGGAGCACTTCACCAGTGTGTTCTGTTGCTCATCTCATGGATCTGAGGAACGCTTCATGAGAAATGAAACACGCATTGCTCACCACTGTGCCTGGCAGAGTAGAAGTCTGACTCAACACAGCATGTACGTGTGACGGCAGCGCACTCCAGCAGGACAGCGTTCCAGTATCTCCCTGTGGGTTGTTAACACAGTAACTGTGGCTCTTCCAGCTAAGTCTTCATATTTAGATGGATTTTTAACCTGCAGCAAATCATCTGGATGTTTCCGAATACTTAGCTAGCCATTATTCAAAAATATGCTATGTAAAAGATCAGTTTGATTCCAGTCATCTCTCTTGATGTCAAATTATTGCAGCCTATATTCCTGAGAATGCTCAATGGGATTATACTAAAATCATATTCCTCATGCTAGTTTTATATTTCATGAATCCTTGGCAGCATTCAACTACTTTTTTCTTTTCCAATATGTTCCTACTGACCACGCCTTGCCCCAGGAACCCAGGTTGCAGATAAGTCATGTTTCAGAACGAATGAAGGAGGGTCAAAGTACGGGTACTGCCGAAGAGTGAACAACACTCACCTTCCCTGCAAAGCGAAGTAAGTGACTTTGTTTGAATCTCCCTATCTCTTAGACCAGGGGAGTTTCTCACTTCCAGCCACACATTCTCATTTATCTCATTTAAAGAGAAAGTCAATTTGGACATCATTCATTTGGCAAACATTCATTGAGTGACTATTATGTGCCATATTTTGGCTAGACAGTGAGTTAAAAAGACAGGGAGGAAATGATGCCTTTTTTCCAGTCCCTCACAATGGATGCTTCAGTACAACTGTTGTTAAAAAGAATGAATGTTTGCGATGGACCATGCAACAGTGGAATGGGCCTGGCTGGAAATGTGTTCATGGATTCTCCAGTCTACTTTAGATACTTTTCCATTTAGTGTCTTTCATTATGACTCTAGCATAGAAATATGTATCTACTCAGAGGAATAAGCAATATGGCGACTGTACAGGGTTTTTTTAAACTCGCATGGCATTACATAAAGAAGAAAGACAGTCAGAGGAAGGATTGACAGTTCACCTAAAGATTTGGTTTGACCCTTTGTATTGATATTCTGAAAAAATTCAAGAATATTGTAAGTGATGAACTCGAGTTTTTCTATATTTTTTGATTCTGCAATTTTAAGATGACTTTTAACATTCAAATTATAATAGATTAAACTTTGTGCCTGGTCCAAATTATATGCATACAAACTAATGTCTAATAAGAGGTTGAATGAAAAAGATCAGATTTTTCAATTTTTCTATTAAAAAACACTAATTTTTCTAGATGATAGATACTACCAAAAAAAAAAAAAACCCTGTATTTTGGACATAAGGCTTTAGTGAGGGCTGAGCAGTTTCACCTGAACTTGCAGGGAGACAGTTCTCTCAGTAACCCCACGTGACACCTTGGAATGTCACCCAAGGCTCAGCTTTATACTGACACAACTATAGTCGAGAGAATTGTTCTCCCACAATTAATGACAATAAATATGCAACCTTACCTGAAACAAGACAGAAACAGACTTCCTAGGTGCCCTCCATGATGCTAGAAATCCTTCCTCCTTGTATCTTCTTGCTCCATCATGCACGTGACCGCCTCTCCCAAATGTTTCTCTTGGTCCACGATGGCTTCTCCAGCCCCAATCATTGCATTCCAGTAAGCAAAAAGGAGAAAAAAAATTGAGGAGAAGACATACACCTTCACATAAGACCAACTTCAAGAATCTACAGTTAAGTTTCTACTTCTTTCCAATTGGCAAGAATTTAGGTAATTAGCCAAAATTAGGGAATCTGGGAAATGCAGGATTTTTTTGAGCAACAGTGTGCCTTGCTAATAATCTTCAACGGTTCTATTACTGAAGCCTAAGAGAGATGTTGTTATAAAAGAGAACGAGGAGTTTCTGCGCATGGAAAAATATCATTGGTTCAATATTGATAGTCAGGGAGCTGATTTACATTTGTACAAAACTGCAATTTGGATCCTGGTATTATAACTGCAGCAAATTTTGGGCTTTCCTCAGGGATGCCATGTGTGGGAAGTTGTTCTGTCAAGGTGGGTCAGATAGTATGTCCTGGAAAGGAGATATAATAACTTTCAAGACATGTAAAACATTTGATTCTGAAGACATCAATCAAGAATTAGGCATGGTAGCCAAGGGAACCAAGTGTGGGGATAACAAGGTAAGTTGAAATTGCGGCTTTTACTCAAAAAATTATTTTTGTTTTTCATTTGTTTGTTTTGTTTGTTTGCTTCTCAAAGCCTCTTTGTGTTACCCGGAGCACAGTTTTCAAAGCGATGTTTATGCCATTCACGCATTCGTGCCTGCATGCTTCCCTCAAGATTATTTAATAAGTAGCTATTATGTGTTTAGCACTAGATTGTTAAACTCGAGTAAATATTATAGCCCCCAAATTGGTAGGTTCTCAATAATAATAATAAAGAGAATAATAACAGTCCTATATTTTTACATAAGTGGTAATTATTTTAATTTTGGAGATGATGTGATATTAACACATTTCCTACAATATTTTTGTTTGGAATGGGTGCCTTGTGTCATGTGCAGTGCTTAGCTCAGTGCTAAACTGCAGTCTTAAGTGTTGGACTAAAGAGGTGGTTTAAGAGAAGACCCATGAGGAATGATGTGGAGTAAGGAAGTCTTGTTTAAAGAGGGCTTCCTAAATATTTTATTATAAAAATTAGCTAGATTCCATCTTCCTGTTTTCAAAAGAACGCTGTGATTTTCCCAACAAAAAGAGAAGTCTGATAATAACAGTGGCTAAAAACACGAGACTAAACCCCAAAGAGCTGACAGTATGCAGAGCTGAAACCATTGAACATGAGCGTCAACTTTGTGTTTTTCACATCACCTTCAGGTTTGCATTAATGCAGAATGTGTGGATGTGGAAAGAGCTTACAAATCGGCCAATTGCTCCTGGAAGTGCAAAGGACACGCTGTGAGTTTTGACCACATGTCCCCAGGCTTGCTGTAGCTTATGTCATTTTAGGTCAGGCAGTTCTGACGATGTTAAGGTAACGTTTCAGCACTGCCTGGTTACCATTCTTAGGTTTATCTAACCTGTCAGTAGTTTGGTTCAACAAAAAACTCCCTCAAAGAACATAGTACTGGAATTCCTATTACTGATTCGTATGTGAGGGAGATGGTTGAATGGCTACAGAGCAGGGGTTCTTTTTTTTTTTTTCAGACTGGACTTAATTATGGATGAAAAGGCCCTTTGGGTGGATAGTCAGTCCCATGAGAAAACTAACAGAATCACTGCTCCTCTAGGTATGTGACCATGAGCTCCAGTGTCAGTGTCAAGAAGGATGGATGCCGCCAAACTGCGATGACTCCTCCGCCAGGCTGGTCTTCAGTAGGTACCACTGCATGTCTAACCTCCTCCTCTGCCATCCTCCTTACTTCCTGTTGTCTGAACCTCCTGGTCCTTCATTTTCCAACTGTTACAACCCTCGTCCCGTCTGAGAAGTCTCAGTAGTATGATGCTCTCCCTGTCTCGTGGAAAATGTTTTATACAGATTTCTTCTTGATTTCCTCTATCTAAATAATATTACAATAATCATGATAAAAATGTGTTTTCATTTTACTGGCTATGAGAGATTTTCCCGGGAATGCATGTCCTTTGGAAGGAGTGGATGGAATTTGTGACAATAAAGAAATAAGGGCCAGTGAGATACGTATTTGTGAACTTCTAATAGCCTCACGAGGCCCGTGTTCTCTTTGTTGCAGACTTCTCCGTTGTGGTTGGGGTGCTGTTCCCTGTGGCTGTCATATTTGTGGTGGTTGCCATAGTAATGCGGCATCAGAGCACCAGAGGAAAGCAGAACAAAGTCTGGAGGCAGGTTTTTGTCTTGCTTCGGGGACTCTTTGGCCTCTAATTCATTTTAAATGTAAGGATATGACCCAAATTATCAAATTTAATTGTGGTTTACTTTAAATACGTTGAAATAAGTACAGATACATTTTTCTTGGACCAGAGGCTGGTTATTCCTTTTATTGAGAAATCCTTCATGTGTTTTTTTTCCTTCTCTAATCAATGTTTATAATTATTAATAACTTATTATTAAAGTTTTTATGCTCATTATACAAATACAGTATCTAAAATTTGTTGATCACTATCTTTATGACAAGCTCTATGCTTAGTCCTTTTATATGTTTTATCTAAATCTTCACAAGGAAATGATGGTAACCATTGTTCCCATTTTATAGATGAAAAGGTGTTAAATATTAACCCTTACTATAATCCCGCAAAGTCGGGCACTTCACATTCTTCCTGATGTGGAAACAAGCTCAGGGAGGTGAACAAGTGTGTTCAAAGTCTTACAAAGTAAAGAATGGAAACCTGGAGTTGCAGCTAGATCAACCATAATCTTAACACTACGATATCCTTCTAGCGTTTTTTTAAAGACTGACTTATTCACCCAGAATGGGCTTTTAATAAATACTTTATAAATGAAGTAGATCTTTAATTAAATGGCATAATTTATGTAAAAGCTGGATTCAACAGCACTGTTACTGGGAATCCGAGCTCTGGAGTGAGTCAAAAAGAAGATCAGTGGTGGCGATTCTGAGTTACAGGACAAGGAAACCTGAAGACTGTCCTGGCAGACGACAGTCTGGCCAGTTACCAAGGACGTCACAATGGGCAGAAGATCTCTCTTGAATTTCCCCCTCACAGTGAAGGAGCTGCTAAGTCAGTTTACATGATGCGCTTTCACACGCAGGTCACGGTCTGCTGGGGCCACTGGGCCACGCAAACAGAGGAAGAAACCACAGACAGCGAAGGCCGGTCAGCCGCACGAGGTGAGCCGCCATTGGCGCTGTGTTCACAACGGCCCCCAGTTTGTGATTTTCTCCCCCTCTCGTCCTGACCGCCCATCTATCATTTCTACTCAGCAGTGTTTTACAAATCCACCTGACTAGTGTGTTGCAAGGACTCTGGGTTCTGTAACTCCACATGCAGAGAGTCCACCTTTGCCTTTTGTTAAATACAAGAGAATCACTCTAAAACACAGAGGCTGCTTTGCTGGGAGTCACAAAAATGCAAAGAGAATAAAGGGAAGGAGGAAGGCAGACGCTAGATCTCTCTCGAACACGTGCTCGCTCTCTGATGCTACCTTGATTCCTCGTTCCTTCTGTAAATGTCCCAATAATGACAACCATATGTATTTTTGTACGACAATACACACAATATGTATAACCCTTAGTTCCCTAGTTGTGTCCTGCAAGTTTAGAAATGTTAGAAGTTGTTTAATGATAATGACATTGGTAACAATGTTTTGGATGGAAACTTATCTGCCTCTGATAGCTCTGGACACAGCAGAGTGCAGCAGCGGGACCACTGTGATGTTCCCTCCAGTCTCTTAGTGCCATTTTACTTCTGATCTCATTAATCAGAAGGGGCTTCTTACTTGGAAGCTGAAATTAGGAAACTGATCATTGCATTTTTTTAAATTTATTCATTTTTATTGAATGAAAGAATCTCTCAGTTCGACAGTGCTTTACAATTTTCAGAAGTTCCACACGCACGATTCCATATAATCCCATTTTTAAATATAATTTTTTTCTTTTTAGACAAATCCGGTGAAGCGTCAGGCACCTGATCTGCCAGTAGAGGGCAGTGAGCCGCCAGCTTCTTTTGTGAGTGGGCAAGTTCTCTTAAATATCCCTTCCAGGCTAACCTCAAGGAAACGCTAGTGCAAGACGTTAAGCCACAACGCCCAGTTATCTCTTCAGAAGAATGTTGAGATCGGTGCGAATTTCATATAAAATACAGATTCTTCTGCAGAACTTTTTTGAAAATACAAAGTGTGCGTCTGCCTGTCTGTTACGCTCCTAAATAGAACCCATCACCCTGAGTTACCGGGTCTGGAAAGCTGGTAACTGGTTATAGAAGAGCGCTGGTCTGCTCCGTAGAGTGCCACCTTCATTGCCTGTCTGTAGGCATTGAGCCTGTTTCTGAACGTACAGGCTCCCCTAAATGAAAGCAATTAAATTGAACAGGTTTAGACGATTCCTAGTTCTCCATTTCTGAAAATGATGTCAGCACACCTTTCCACTAAGCACGCCCATTTTCAAGGATTCACTTCCTAATTACTTTTTAATCTTCTTACTAGCTAAATACAAAGCCAGACTTCCCACCACCGCCGATTCCTACATCTGTATCATCCTCTTCCCTTGTAAGTATCAGATGGTCACTGGCAATTTTTTTTAATGTCTCTTGTGCCCCATGTGAATAGTGTCTTCAAATCCATGGGTTCCCTTTTGGGATGTGGTAAGCTAACCTGAGCTGCCATAGCCCTCGGGAATATCTGAGAAAGGCCCACTCAACTGTCTATAAATTAGCATGGGTATTAGTTTTTTGTTGTTAAAAATAGTTCTACTGTTTTATTGTTAAGAAATGACACACTTCTGCTGTAGGAGCTAAACTGTCTCCTTCAAAATGTGGTTTCTAGGTGCTTATTTGGGAGGATATAAAATCGTATTATAAATTATATTTATTATAGATGGAACAAGGCCTATAGGAGCCAGTGTTTTCTGTAGGAGGCAGGGTCTGAAAAACAGACCACACAAAGGCAAACCCGGAATAAAAGCCAGGCACTTGTCAAGTAAAAGGTAGTGTCACTCACTCCGATGTTTCCTGAGCATCTTCCCTCATCCCTGGTACTCTACTGTGAGTAAAGGAGAAAGGACTAAAACATACGGTCATTTTTTTCAAGAATGTTTACATTGGTGGTGGGAAAACAAGTCATGTATATATGGAGTGCTCAACTCCTATATTATTTGTGCCAACGCAGGGGTTACCACTGAGAAGCATATGGTGAGGGGAAAATGAATGGGGTCAGAGTGGTGAAAGTAGGAGAAAGATCATTTGACTAAGTAGTTGGAATTTGTCCTGGACCCTGAAAGTTGGTTAGATTTTAAAATAAATGAAGAGGAGGTAAGGGAGGAATTAAATAAGGAAACAGTATAGCTAAGATGGGAAATGCACAGCGTTGCGAATGTCTTAGCTAGAAAGTGATGATGACTCCAGTAGTCCTCATCTTCTCAGCGGTATTACCCGGGGGCAGTGAGGCAGAGAAAATGTCCCACAGGAAGACCGCTCGGCATCGCATAATCTCCTCACCTCCCCCCCACATAAGTGGCCAGATGGAGATTTGGATCCCAGTGGGATGTTTTTCTCTCCTTCTTCCTTGCCCTCCCATGTTTCCACTCCTTCTCTGGGATGTATCAACTAATCTATAAAATAGAAAGTATGACTACAGAGAATTTATTTTAATTGCTTAATAGTTCAAAGTGATAGAATATTTATATTTTGGGGAAAGTTCATTATTTAAGAATTTTGTCTTTTTTAGGGCTTCAGTCCAAAAGCCTGAAGTAACAGCTGAGCAAGGATTGGTGGGGGGATGATCAACTCAGAAGACTGGACCATCTGGATGGAAGAGAAATATCCTTACTTTCTCACTATTATTTGCTTTGATATCCAGGGAGATGAATATTTCTTGGTTCAGATTATGCTTTGAAGAGGCTAAACAAACTTTCAAGAGAGACATACTCTTGATAATCTTCGTATGAATTAAAAATTTCTATTCTCCATACTCATGGGAAAGAAGATGGCTTTTAAAAAATAGTTCTGAAGCTGAAATCTGTAATTAGATGGTTTCCTAGTCTTCCACCCCACCTCCTTTTTTTTTTTGCTTTTTTACTTTAATGTTGACTAAAATTTCTTTCAAGTATTTTGAGCACCTTGATTTTCTCATTCAGTAGAAATTAATTCACCCTCCAATGAAAGCAAAAAACAAGAAATCACAGGAAACTGGGAGGGATGAGAGAAACTGTATTCATCATTAGATGACTAGCAACATCTTGATTGTTTTAACCATGAACCTGTCAAATCAGAACACTCAGTTACCAAGAAAGTTATACAAACATTCTCTGGTTTATGTAATTTTTTTCTGCCTTATCTTCTGCAGTCCTTATTAGCTCTGTCATTTGAAGTTCACTACAACTGATTAAGACTGTATTAAATTGTGATTTTTTTTCATAAAAATTTGTGTAACTCAGTTACTGGTGAGCTTAAAGGGAACATCACTTTCTAGGTAGGAAAAATTTTAGTTAAATTAATAATATAAACCAGTGGCCTGCAGGAAGTGTCTGGACTGCAGATTTATTTTATTTGGCCTGAATGATTTTGGTCACAAAGTATTTTTAAATGTTTGGAATTTATTGCCAATATTTAAAAATTAGAAGATCTTGCATAAACATACAGATCGCCAGCATTTTCAAAGTAACTAAATGCTTTGTCAGCACTGGAATCTCCCCGCCCACAGCAGCCATCAGCTTAGTTGACTGGTGGTGGAACAAACATTGTAGGTTGCGTACCAAATAATCCCCTTCTTCCTTTTCAGAACCCTAATTTTGTTCAGCTTTCCAGATTTTCAAAAAGACAATCCTAACTCCATCTCCTGGATAAATCTCTGTCACTCTGAGGCAATCACAATAATCAGATTTCCCTTACCAGTGGTTGATTTGAAGATGAGTGTATAAATCGCCTCCCCCCTTTTCTGCCAATGGGACAAGACAGGGGATGTGTTGGGGACTGTCTAGGAAAGGTATCCTTGTCCCTTCTGGCTATTTGGATATCCCATGTGGTACTGCTGCAGCCACATTGTGCTTATGAGGGCAAGGCTGGTATACTGAATACGATAGAGCAGAAAGGTGAATAAAACCTGGTCTTTTAATGATGTCATTGAACTGGTGAATTACTAAACTGCTGGACTTTCTTGGGACTTTCTGCTGTCTGATCAATAAAATTTCCTTGTTGTTTAAGTCATTTTGAGTTAGATGTGCTCTTACTTGCAACAGAAGTCTTCCTGACTAGTACAGTAGCAGCTCCCGTGATTAGGGCACGTGCTTTTCACTTCATCATTACCGCTACATATGCTTCCAGAGAAAGCCCTTCCCTTGGCAATGCCAGCTTTAGACGTTGCTTAGCAGTTAGCGCTGGGCAGTCTGCTACGCTTCTCAACGCTAACACAGTGTTGCTATTATGATTATGCTAAGTAAGTAATACTGTTGTGGAAACTCAATCCCTAAGCAGAAGAAAATCATGGTGTGTAATTTACTATGAAAGCATCTCCTTGTTAAAATTTAACTTCTTCTCTCTCACACTTAGTTTTGAAAGCCATGTATTTGTTTTTAATTTTTAAATAAATTTTTAAAACTGTATTGTGTTAAGAAAATTTGACATGACATTTGCCCTCTTAACAGATATTTAAGTGTGCAATAAAACACTGTTATCTGTAGGCACAGTGTTATACAGGAGCTTGCTAGATCTTACTCATTTTTCATAACTGAAATTTGATACCCATTGACTGACTCCCCGTTTTCCCCTCCCAGCCCCAGGCAACCACAGTTCTATGCTTTGCTTCCATGAGTTTGCCTGTCTTGAATACCTCATATAAATGGAATCATGTAGTATCTGTCCTTCTGTGGTTCACTTAGTTCCCTTAATCTAATGTCCTCCAGGTTCACCCATGCATGTGACCGGATTGCCTTCCTTTTTAAAGGCTGAATAGCATTCCATTGTGTGTATATGCCACATTTAGAAGTTCTGCTCATTCACTGATGGACATTTACATTGTTTCCACATTTTGGGTACTTTGAGTAGTGCTGTAAAGAACAGAGGAGTGCAGATAACATCCTGATTTCAGTTCTTTTGAATAAATATCCAAAGATGGAATTATTGAATCACATGGTAGTTCCATTTTTAATTTTTTGAGGAATCTCCGTACTGTTTTGTGTAGTGCCTGTACCAATTAACATTCCCACTAACTGTGCACAGGGTTGCTCTTTTCTCCACACCCTCACCAACTCTTGTTATCTCTGACCTTTTTGATAATAGCCATCCTAACAGGTGTGAAGTGATAGTTCATTATGGTTTTGATTCGCATTTCCCTGATGAGTAATGAAGCTGAGCACCTTTTCATATACCAATTAGCCACTAATAGCCATTTGCATGTCTTTGAAAAAAATGTCTATTTGGGTCCTTTGCCCATTTTTTAATCTGATTTTTGAAAATATACATTAAAAATTTACCATTTTAACCAATTTCAAGTTTACAATTCAGTGACATCAAGTCCATTCATAATGTATGGACCTGTCACCACTATCCATTTTCAGAACTTGTGCATCATCTCAAACAGAAATTCTGTACCTGTTAAATAACTTCCCATTACGCCTTCCCCATTATGCACTCCTAGCCCCCAATGAACTCTATTCTACCTTCTGTTTACATGAATTGGCTTATTCTAGGTGCGTGAAATAAGTGGGATTATGCAGTATTTTTTTCTTTCATGTAACTGATTTCTTTTTCTTAGCACAATGTTTTCAAGGTTCATCCATGTTGTCAAATGTGTCAGAATTTCATTCCATTTAAAGACTAATAGCCTAATATCATTTTAATATATTTATTTTCTGTGTAAAACAGCTGGAGACAATTTCTGGGGCTCCACATCCTCATTCAGATTCTCATTGTTTTCATACTTGCTCATTTTCTAACCAAATGATGCTTTTTACTCCTTGTTTTAATGCGTACTTCTTTGGCAGTGAACATGCTTTTCAAGATATTCTTAGTATTGTAGAACTTGGTTTTTAATCAGGGTTCTTGCTGTCCTCTTCTTAGCAAGAACCATGTCTGAGGTTGCTTTCTTAGCTTTACCAAGCATCTGCATGAGCTTAGTGTTAAAATCCTTGGTGTACCACCATGAAGGAAGTCCATAAATTTGCCTAAGTGAAAAACAAGGTGATGACAGTATGGCTGTAACGGTCTCCTCCAGTTGCCCCAGGTTGATCTCAGCCTCTGAACTGCAAAAATTTTTGCATTCCTCATAGAGAAACCCCCAGATTCACAGGCCAAGTGCTGTGACTCAGTGTATAGCAGTTCCTTTCAAAGTCAATGTGTGTCACCACTTTGGCCTTCTAAACCCTTTAACTGCTGTGAAGTAGCTCCCTGAGATGTGTGAGTCTTCCGGGACATGTTGTAACTGTAATTGGAATGAAGTCTATAGGAGCCAGTTCTAGGCAGAGATTCCTTTAGTCCCACTTGCTAATAGCAGGGCCGGGCAGATCCAGTGGAAAGCCAAGTGTCAGATGGGGAACCAGGGAAGGTCCAGAGAAAATTTAATAGAAATGTACAGAAAAAGGTAAGAAAAAGAAAAAAAAGTTACATGGGGGAGGTAAACAATTCACAGGGATAAAAGCAGAGACAGTTCCCAGGCTCTGCCATTATAGTCTTAGTACATAATTTGAACTCTCTGGGCATCTTTAAATTTCCTCACCTATGAAATGCAATGAACAATTCATGAATTGCTAATTTTCAAAGAGAGTTTTCAAAGAAATGGATAAAGGCAGTATGAAGACATCAAATGAAAAAGAGAAAAGAAGAGAGATGTCCATGGTCTAGAAGGGCAGACAACATCCATCCGACAAGGATCTATTGACAAGATGCCTCCATCCACGGATTTGTCAGAGGTGGACCCGTCTCTGTACAAGCCACTGTTTCACACATCTGCGAGCAGGAAGTAGGGCAAAGTTACTTATTACTTGTAGATATTTCACTGATGAGCTTCAAATTTTTCTTGATGCTTTCTTCTGCCTAGAAAGTGCTTTTAGAATCTGTCTCCACATCCCTAGTCAGATTCCTCCTCTTATGTTAAATCTAAGTGTTAGCTGGAACTTCTGGGTTAAATTCAAACTCTGTCCTAGATTCGGAGTTGCCGTGTGAAATGACCTTGAATTGATATTTGGCGGACATCAACAAGCAGTGAATCCACAAAACTGTTAGAAAAAATGAAATCACAACTGATGGTAAATTTGGTAATTTTTTTAAAAAAATGAGAATATCATAGGATAAAGTCATAAGTTTACATTGTAGAGCAAAATAGATTTATACAAGTCTGTGTGTATGTGTGCATGAATGACCACTTAATCCTTACAACGATCCGATGTAAAGAATCATTGTCCTTATTTTACAGATGAGAAGACAGAGAGAAAAATGAGAACAGGCTATTTTTCTCGCTTACACAGCTAGTAAGTGGTTGAAATAGGGACTCAAACCCAACTATTCTTACTTCAGGTTTTTCGTTCCTTCTACACAACCCACCATACTGCCTGCAACAAGACAGTTTTGCACAAGAAGGCACATGTAATATTATAGTACTAAGTATGGACATTCTACTATCTCCAGCTACAATTTCTTCTCTACATGGTTACCAGTGAAAATTTATTTGATGTTGCCGTCGAATCAAATGCCCCTGACTGCCCACTCCCTTTGAAAGTAACTTCAAATTTTTCTTCCCATTCCAGTGGCTAGTGATTAGCACAGAGCCTGGACAATGGTAAGTACTCAAAAAGTCCTTAACAAAAGTCTTCCATCCAGATTCTGGGTTTATGCATTATGCAATTTACACTTACCTGATTGTTTTCTTCTGTTCTTTTTTTCAAACATTTGCAAATTCCAACTTACTATGTTGACACTGAGGATAGAAAGATTAACCTCTTTCCTTGCTATCCCTGGTCTCACAGCCTTGTTCTAAAGACTGACATAAATAAATACAGAAATAAAGTCATCATCGAAACGCCTGCACAAGGGAGCATAGAGGAAATGTTTATCAAAGGACGGGCATGAGAGGTTTCTCAGGGAGGCGTCATGTAAACCTTAAATTATAGCAGATTTGTCAGGCTAACAAGGAAACAAGAAGAAGGGCATTCTAGGGAGAAAACGAGTGAGGTCATGATTCATCAAACTTATCAAGGCTAGACTGAAGCAAAGCATTTTATTTATTTTTAATGAGTCCCTCCATATATTTACGTATACCACCCTTCGTTAAACATGCACGATTGTGCATACACAAATTGAGAAGGTTTCAAAGAGTATAACAAAAGAAAAAGAAACAGTTAAGGGAACTAGAAAACAAGCAAGAAAGTTCCAGAAATCATGAAGCCATGGGTGCGACGAAACCAGTGACACGTAAAACATACAGCCCTACATGTTTGCTTAGTCTGAGCTCCAAGTCTTACTCCAAACTCTCTGAAAACAAAACAAGTGAACAAGAGAAGTAAACAGAATCAATGGGAGATTTATAGCAACCATAAACTAAAAGCAAACATGCAATCAACAAAGGTAATAAAACCACATAAACAGAGCAAAGCCAAGCAACCAAATAAATAAAAATCAGTGGCTCAGAAGGAGCACAGCTTTTCCTGCTGCTGAGACCTGAAGGTTGTCATGATGGTATCTGCGATGGGATCAACATGAGAACCTGACTCTGCCCTTCTTCTGGGCTCTCAGCCTGGTAGCCCCCTGGCATTTCACATATACAGACTCTTGGTTGCTTGCCCTAAACCTTGCTCTAGTGACCCCCAGTAGCAAAGGAACCCCAACAGGGAGCAATGTGTAGGCTGAGTTTAGGTCATTGGCCCAACCTTTTCACCAGTGACTTTTATCCCTTGTCACAGTATTGGAGTCATTATTTCTAACTCAGCTATATACCATGAATTGAGAAACCAAATAATAGGTCCTTTTCATGCTAGTATCTTATATCATCACTGAACAAATGAAATAGGTATTTTTAGCCTGTTTTAAGAGTACTTAAAGACATTTTTCAAACTGCGTTCATAGCACATTTAAATTTACAGTTGAAGACATTTAATATCTGAAAACTAATGGCTTTACACCATTTAGGTGATACTGGTTGCATTTTGTATCACTACACAACTATTAGTTATAGACACTTCTATCTCAGTTGATTATTTGAGAACCCAAATCTATTTTTCGTTTTTAAAAAATAATTCCTAGGCTTGTTGGATTGATCTTTTTGCTCACTAAAGTATATAGAGAGTATTACAATATTTGCTCCTCTGTAATGTTTCTCCAAAGGTGAGCACTGAAATCATCTTTATTACTTTGAAATCATAACGTCTCCACTTTATACCAACAGAAACTGTACATAGGAGGAAGAAATCAAGACACTGATTTTTGATATATTCTAGAAAC